CATTATTCATTCAAAAGTAATAAGAAAAATTGATAATGTGTTTATTTTCCTTGCGCTACAACTCGTGTTACTAGATCAATCTGATAAAATAAGCGTATTATATATGCAATATGTCTCCTCAATGTTGTCATTGGTAGTCGCCCCCGCCCCCTCCCTTAATTTACCTGAGGTACTCTAACAGCCCTCAAGTAGCTCCCAAGAAGTCAGGAATGTCCAGTGACCATTTATAAATATTCTAGACTTCAGTCTTGAGAAGTTTACGATCTGGTCTGGAGAAGCCAGATTTTTTGAAATCTAAATGGGGACTAATGGAGACTTTTGGGGACTAATGGGGACTAAAAATCATGGGGACTCGGGGTAAAATCGTTGACGTAATTCCCCAAGTCCCCAAAAGTAGTCATTGGCCCCCCCCCCCCGATTTGCCTCATGTTTTCAGATCATATGCAACATGTAATAATCTACCGTCTCTGAAAATATTAGGCGTTCAGAGAAAACAATATAGGTGTTTTAATATTGAATGGGCGTGGTCTAAAATATTCCATCAAATTTTGATGACGGAATCCTCGAACCATTTAGTACAGTATGCCATCTGCAAAGCAACAGCTCTCAAATATAAAACACGGCGGAATTATTAAGGCCAACGTATGTCCACTGACTTTTGGCCCACCCTGTATCAAATCGAAATTTATTTGACAAATTTGGTTTTTCTTTTTCAAATCAATTTTAAAACGACATGGCGGGTTTGAGCCATAAAATTCCAATTCAATTTCAATATTAAAATAGAAAACGATTTGACATCAGTTTTTTTATCAATTTTAAAACGATGGCGGGTCTGAGCCACCATACCCCTCTTATTTCATAATATGTTATGTCATCGCAGTGAAATGTTGACGAGAATCGAGTTTACCAAACCGCTCAAAATACTCCTGATGTCTACCAAACACAACGCGCTCAGTCAGCGAATTGCACTGGAACTCCAACGGAAAAACTGCAACATCAAAATCCAGGAAGTTCAAACAGGAGAATGCATGATATCCGCTGAGCAGAGAGAAAATCCCGATCTGATTATCTGTCCCTTCCTGAAGACGAGGATCCCCAGGGAGCTATGGAGTAGGAAGCCCTGCTTGATCCTGCATCCGGGAATAGAGGGGGACCGTGGAGCCACGTCTCTGGACTGGGCTATCAAAGACAAGAGGGCTGAGTGGGGTGCCACCGTCTTACAGGCTGATGATCAGTTTGATCATGGTCCCATTTGGAGTACGGGAAACTTTCCCATGAACCGTCCTGACCAGAATACCCTGACTAAAGCGATTGTATACGGGCACGAAGTTACGGACACAGCCGCTCATTGCATGACCCAAGCCATAGAGCACTTCACCAACAACACCCCTCCTCGCACCCTGGACTACAGCAGAGCGGAAGTGCAGGGTGAACTTGTACGCAACATGCGACGACAGGACCGTGTCATCAATTGGAACGAGGATCAGGAGAGTGTGGCTCTGCGTGTAAGAATGTCTGACTCCTCTCCGGGCGCCATTGCCAGCTTTCAACTGACTAGTTACCATGGTAACACAGCTTGTGATAGCCAGCCGTTCTGGAGTGAATTGTTCCGGGCCTTCGGGGCACATCTGGAGACGGGGGATCTGAGGAACCTAAAGGGAGAGCCGGGCCAAATCTTAGGACAGCGTGATAACGCCATCCTGGTAAAATGTGGCAAGGGAGCCTTGTGGCTCTCGCATTTGAAATGTGACTTAATTAAGCTCCCTGCTATGACTTGGATTAGAAGAAAAAACCCCCACTGTGACCACATCCCAGTCCTGGGAGAGAACATACTTACAGACAGTCGGGCACCACTTCCCTATGTGCCGTACGGTCAGACCCCAGCAACATTCCAGGAAATTTGGGTTACCATGACAGCAGACGGAGTGTTCTTTGTTAACTTTAACTTCTACAACGGCGCCATGACCACTTACCAGGCCAAGAATTTGGAGTCAATTCTACGACGAGTTGAAGAGAGTGGTCTTTGCAAAGTTATCGTTCTTAGGGGTGGGTACAACTTCTTCAGTAACGGAATAAACCTGAACACGATTGAGAGCTCGTCCGATCCAGTAAGTGAGTCGTGGAGTAACATAAACGCTATTAACGACGTAGTGCGCCGTATCGCAACCAGCAGCAAGGTGACAATCTCAGCTCTGCAAGGTAACGCTGGAGCGGGGGGTTTCATGATGTCACTTGCGAGTGACATGGTGGTGGCACGACAGGGGGTCATACTGAACCCCCATTACCGGCGCATGCATCTCACTGGATCAGAGTACCACACCTACTTCCTGGCTGAGCGGTTGGGTGAGGCGGAGGCGAGTCAACTGTTGGACACAGCAGAGCCTGTGCTAGCGGAGACAGCAGTGGATACAGGGCTAGTGGACCAGGTGATGGGGTATGGTGTGGTGCAGTTTCAGGAGCAGGTGGAGGACCTGGCGAGAAGGATGGCCCGGTACGGTACAGTTCCACGGGTTACTTTGAGGAGGGAAGAGCGGAAGAAGGTACAGGACTTTCCTCAGTTACTGGAGCGGCGAAGGGCCATGGAGCTGGAAGCCATGGCAAGGGACTTTAGAGGGGCCTCGTACGCGGAGGCTCGCCGAGCTTTTGTTCTTCATTAGATTTAGTGTGAGTTACTTGTGCAGGCACTACCCAAGAAGCTCGACCAGCGGAATTCCATGCAAGTTTATGGTTATGTTTATGGTTATGTTTATGGTTATGTTTATGGTTATGTTTATGGTTATGTTTATGGTTATGTTTATGGTTATGTTTATGGTTATGTTTATGGTTATGTTTATGGTTATGTTTATGGTTATGTTTATGGTTATGTTTATGGTTATGTTTATGGTTATGTTTATGGTTATGTTTATGGTTATGTTTATGGTTATGTTTATGGTTATGTTTATGGTTATGTTTATGGTTATGTTTATGGTTATGTTTATGGTTATGTTTATGGTTATGTTTATGGTTATGTTTATGGTTATGTTTATGGTTATGTTTATGGTTATGTTTATGTTTATGTTTATGGTTATGTTTATGGTTATGTTTATGGTTATGTTTATGGTTATGTTTATGGTTATGTTTATGGTTATGTTTATGTTTATGTTTATGGTTATGTTTATGGTTATGTTTATGGTTATGTTTATGGTTATGTTTATGGTTATGTTTATGGTTATGTTTATGGTTATGTTTATGGTTATGTTTATGGTTATGTTTATGGTTATGTTTATGGTTATGTTTATGGTTATGTTTATGGTTATGTTTATGGTTATGTTTATGGTTATGTTTATGGTTATGTTTATGGTTATGTTTATGGTTATGTTTATGGTTATGTTTATGGTTATGTTTATGGTAAGAATTATCGCGGATTGCGGAATACCTATGGTCGGGTGCTTGGATACTGCCTTGATAAATTCAATATGTTTTTTCACTTTTGAGAATTATTTATAAATTAAAACAATTCGAAAATTTTATTTTATTTCAAACTTGGTATTAACTACTAGTAAACATCTTGATTCCCCATTTCTCAATCGATTATTTTATCATTATCAATAAGTGCTGGGCGTGAGAAGAAAGTGGCCCGCACCACTTTCCTAGTGATGGCCCTCGACCGTTAATCACTGGTCCAGTCAATGGCTTAAGAATACCAAAATATCAAAAAATCGAAATATTAAATACTACTATTCGAGAATGAGTCACTCTTATAATTCAGAGTTTTCCCCTGCGATCGCCCATACGTGCAAACTGCAAATTCAGGGTTGCTTTTGTTTACTGTGCGAGTACTAAGCAAATGCGGGAGCATTTTAATTTGCTGTTAGTTGCCAAATATTTAGCATTCACGTGTACGCATTGTCTGAAATTTGGAATTTACATCGTTGTAAGTACGGTAATTTAATGCACAAATGCACGTTTGTCATGCAAAGATGACGGCTTTATTGGCACGACATTATGATGGTTTATATTGTCATTGCGTTGTGTTCAGTGTGTTTTACACTATCACCGGTTTTGTCTCAGGCTGGGATTGATAATTTAAAGTTAGAAGGACGTGCTACCTGTGGTCCTCATTACACGAGGTTGTCTATAACTGTCACCAGGGAGGTGTTACTAGGTGTTACTAGGGAGGTGTTACTAGGTGTTACTAGGAAGGTGTTACTAGGTGTTACCAGGGAGTTAGAAGAACGTGCTACCTGTGGTCCTCATTGCACGAGGTTGTCTATAACTGTCACCTGTTGTATTATCGGTGATTTGGCGGAGTGAACATTGCCAATGCCACCCAATTAGCCGCTCAGCTTATTTAATACAAATAGTGAAATTCTTTAACTACATTTTGAATAGCATTTAAATGCAGATAACTATTGCTCCACCGATAGTCCCTACTACTCTTTATATTAAAGTGTCAATGTATAGTGTATAAACAATGTATAGTGTATAAACCATGTCAGCTTGTACAATGTATAGTGTATAAACCATGTCAGCTTGTACAATGTATAGTGTATAAACCATGTCAGCTTGTACAATGTATAGTGTATAAACCATGTCAGCTTGTACAATGTATAGTGTATAAACCATGTCAGCTTGTACAATGTATAGTGTATAAACCATGTCAGCTTGTACAATGTATAGTGTATAAACCATGTCAGCTTGTACAATGTATAGTGTATAAACCATGTCAGCTTGTACAATGTATAGTGTATAAACCATGTCAGCTTGTACAATGTATAGTGTATAAACCATGTCAGCTTGTACAATGTATAGTGTATAAACCATGTCAGCTTGTACAATGTATAGTGTATAAAGTGTCAATGGTTGGTTTCATTACAATCATATATGAGCGTATAATCTCAATATTTTGGGTAATTGAGATCCATCATCCACGCATTCACAATTAGAAAATTTCACTCAAAAAAAAACAAAGAAAAACAAAGTAATACCCGTGAAATGAACAAAACGAAAGGAAATGTTACCTGTAAGAGTATCTTAGGTTCCTTGATTTGCGCTGGTATTGCAGCTTGAAACGTGGGATTTTCCTCCAGTCGGGAAATGAGAAGATTCAACCCTTCCACTTCTTCTTCCAGTAAGACAGAATTACCTAGACACAAACACAATTATAACTTGATAATAACAACCACTCAACTGAAAACTTCTTCTAAATTTACAACACATTGGAACAAGCTGTGTTACCATGGTAACTGGCAGTGTTACCATGGTAAGTATGCTGTGTAAAGCTTAGTGTAGTGTAACTAGGGTAACGTGCTGGGTAAAGCTTACCCTTTCCTCTCTCTTCCATGTACTTGAGATGGCTGTGGTATTTCTCCATAACAAACCAGACCATTTCCACAAAGTAGGGGTACAGATACCTGAAATATTTGTAGTTTAAATATTACAGATACCTGAAATATTTGTAGGCCAGGGGGTCTAGGACATATAAGGGTGTACCGCCCTTGTGTCCTCCGCCCTCGTGTCTGGTTTCCCAATCTTAGGGGATTAGCACGTCAAGGTTGTTAAATACGTCAAATTTTCGTGAAAGAATACGACGTATTCGGTTCTAATAAAGAATACGTCGTAATACGCCGGAATACGGTAATTTCTATGGATTGTTAAATACGTCCACGAATACGCCATAATACGCCGTAATACGCTGAATTGTCAAAATTAAACATTACAGCTGCGCGCCACCCTCATCATTGATCATGCATTAAATAAAGGAGTACAGTTATACATGATAACTTAAATTTGTAATCAAATTTCATGGATAATCCGATAAGATAACATTTTTTGCGAACGACACACCTTTTCGTAATACGTCAATTTTCGAGGAGGAATACGTATTCGTATTCCAATACGTATTCCCTCCTAATACGTATTTAACAACCTTGTAGCACGTGACCGTTATGGAGAGAAGTTGTAACCAAAATTTGATGCAGCGAAGTGATTTAATGGTTAAGCCATTAATTGTCTTGTGAAGGTGTGATTTTTGCCATTTCTATTGATTGTTATATTTTGATAATAGTACTGTCATATTATACTGGGGCCACGCCCTTATACTATTAAACTGTGCAACATACGTAATAATAGGCACCAATAGATTAGGAGGCGATCAATAAAGCATCAAGTTAAGGGTATAACAATATGAATAATATTGTGATATTAAAGGTCAGGTAATTATTATACACTTGTGTTCGTTCTCTTAGTACGTTAACAGCGAAACCAGGGAGGTAATGAATGTGCCTGTGTAACAAGCGTATACTTGCTTTTATTTTTAATTGTGTTTCTTAGCCATATGGTATTTGGTTAGCATATAAACAGGTATAATATAATATATAGTGAGCGGACTTATGAAATACAACACTACGCAGTGAAAAGTTGGTCACATTATTATTCCTAGCAGGAACCCGTCTAACTCTTAAGTGGTGTCAAGACTCAAGAGACTAAATAAATCATTACCTATTTAATTCGTGTTTTTGACACCACTTGGGGGTCCTAATTTTGGGCACTATTTCTTGGCCAATTTTTTATTTTTTGATGCTGATTTGAAGGCCATTAAGGCATTTGAGCCAGTCAAAAAAGTTTCAGTTTTATATCTTTTACGGTTTTTGCGGAACGTCGTGTTAAAGTTGATGCCGTGGTGTCAGTGAAAAATGTTACGGATATATATATATCATCTTGCTTTATATATAGTAAGATATTTATTTATATAATTAGGGTATGTAATATATTATATAATTCTATTATATCATATAGTATATTATAAAACTGGTCAAGTTATCAGAGCAGAGTAATATTAGACAGGCTTTGGAACAGTTACATATCCAGAGAACACGGCTCAAATAATAGTATACATTCTCACAAACTGAAACAATTTGCTAGAAACTATTGATATTTTGTGTTTTTAAATATTTTTTGATATCTTTCGTTTTTGTTTTACTCAAGTTTTGGTAACTTTCTGTTTCCAGAAAACCATGAGACACACTAAGAATACATATATAATTGACAGTGGTACCTTGAATAAATCCGGTAGGAAGGATTCATATCACAAGGATACAAGTAGTATAATAAAGCGAATATTTTGACGGTAGTCCTTGCAGACTACTTATTCAGATCTGACAAAAATGAGGAGCTGGCCAAGAGGTATTGTTCGTTGAGTTCGGGATTTGTGCCGCACATTTAACAGAACAATCGACCAGTCACCACTTTACATTAGCCAGTTCTTTTCAAGAGTTGATTACGTTAGCCTATCGTCTACCACTCGTCCACATGAGCAGTAAGTGAATGAAGGATTGGTGAATCTATCTAGGTAAACTATAGGTAAAAAGGATTGGTGAAGTGGTCCTGACGACCGTTACTAATTAGAAGTGCTTACATTCAAATAATACTACCAATACTGCAAATATCGGCTTATAATGCCAGCAAATCGCACCGTTTTTGTGATTCTCAGTTCTCAGTTGTTAGTGAGTTTCTCAGTTCTCAGTTGTTAGTGAGTTTCTCAATTCTCAGTTGTTAGTGAGTTTCTCAGTTCTTAGTTGTTAGTGAGTTTCTCAGTTCTCAGTTAATAGTGAGTTTCTCAGTTATTAGTTGTTAGCGAGTTTCTCAGTTCTCAGTTAATAGTGAGTTTCTCAGTTATTAGTTAATAGTGAGTTTCTCAGTTCTCAGTTAATAGTGAGTTTCTCAGTTCTCAGTTAAGAGTGAGTTTCTCAGTTCTCAGTTGTTAGTGAGTTTCTCAGTTCTCAGTTGTTAGTGAGTTTCTCAGTTGTTAGTAAGCCTGTCCGTTCTCTCTAAATGAGCTCGCTGTTACGAGCCAGAATCTGCCTGAATTCCTTTAGAAAGTAGACATTGCGATATTTAAATGATTTTGCTGATGTAGTAATCATTACTGATATTAGAGATATTACTGATATTAGAGATATTAAGGGGACATACACCAAAAGCTTTTATGCCGTGGCCCTGTTGTTAACTTCATAGACTTTTCCCGATTTCTTATTTGATACGGAATATTTAATGAAAATTAGCAACTTACTATCTGCTAATTTAAAGTGACTACCCAATTTATATTTATTCGTGACCACGTAAATACTCTATAAAAATGTGGGCCGCTAACTTGCCAATTAGATGGAATATAGTCTCCTCTTCCGAAGGATTACTTATTTGTCGTTCGTATATCGACTTTGTTGTGATATAATGTATATGAGCCTTGTATCGGACTTGTCATATATGATCCATATGGGCCTTGTATCGGCCGTATAATGTATTAGTGCCTTTCAATACAAATTAGAACGAGGCCTTCATGTTATGGAGCCAAGGTTTAGACTGGCTTTTACCCGCTTAAAATATCTCCATCACGATACATAATACTGAAATATGATACATTTACAATAAATTATGTAATCACAACATTACAATCAAAAAATGAATTTGTGCTATTATCCTTATAACATCCTAATCGACCACATAATCCCCCAAATCCCCGGCAGCTAAGTTAGAAATGTAGTTAGTGTGACCTACAGTCCATGACGTATAGTGTGACGTATAGTCCATGACATGGGCCCTGAGACCGAGTCAGCAGTCTGTAAACCCTCCAACATGTTCAGTAAGTTCGTGGGAATAGCAGTTTCGGGCTTAGGAACAGCGGCTGTCTTCGTTATAACAGCCCTGGGGTTCGGTATGTGGCCTGATACGTACGCTAAGAACTACTACGTGGTGGCGCTGACTGCGCTGTTTGGCTTCTTTCTCAGAGCTGTGGACTTCCTTGATAGTGTTGGTAGGTTTTTATTCTCATCATTATCATTAGTGATAACAGTGCAGTATCATTTGCAAGAAATCAGAATAATCAGAAATTATTTGGAACTCCCAAAAACTGTCTATTATCATTAGTAGCAGGTTATAACCCAATATTTTAGGAGTATGAGATAGCCTTGGAAATGTTCAGTTCAATATTTTACACGCTATTATTAGCTTTTGTTTGAGCACATTCCACGGAAAAATTTTTTCAAGCTTCGATTTTTATTTCCTATTTTATTAATTGTATTCTTTACTTCAGGTTCAGCGCAAGTCTCTATTCCGATATTAGGTGAGCAGATATTCTTTGTTCTAACAGTGCTCAGTATAACAGACGTTTTGTCTCCCAGAGATTATACCGCATTCTACAATTATTCTTGTCTGGTATTTACAGCATAATAAAGTTTAATCATTCGATTAAATGCATGGTAGCCACAATAGGTTTACCACCAAATTGGACAGGGTGAGAAAATTCTCTAAACTGTCAAATATTGAAGAATAGACTTTATCATGCCTCACTTTATCATGTCTCACATAGTGTGATATAATAAATGGCATTCTCGCCCGCACCCCGCCCTAGGCAATAGGCATGGACAATAATGCAACAACCACTAGCGCAGAATACGGTACATACCATGTACTGCATACCAGGTAAAACAACCGTATGTAGAATAACTTTGCGAAGGAACAAAACAATTTGTGGAGGAGTATTAACTGCCAATTTAATGCGTGCAAACTTTGTATAACATACTGCACTATTAGATTGGGGGGGGGGGGGGTGGGGGGGGGGGGGGGGGGGGGGGGGGGGGGGGGGGGGGGGTGTAACTACGATGAAGTCCATGGGTAAAATGATAGTCCTAGCAGGTGGTTGAAGAGGTTGAGGACTGCTGTTTGAGCATGGATCGTGTTGAGGCTTTGAAGAATTCATTAAAATGTAGATCTTCGGAAACTGCCTTGTCCTTTTTAGTGGCCTTAATGCAAGCACACAGCTCTCCATCTTATATCTTGATCCAAAAGCTTGGACAGGTCGTCACAAATGTTGATTTCTGCATCTTTGACTGTAGCATCTGCATCTGAGTCTTTGATTGTTCTTTTTGCCCGTAAATTCACATGAAGAAACTTGCAACAAGTTCATCATAACGAAGGCATCAAGACTGGTTGCAAGCGATTTTTGTATTTTAAGAAAGAGCTTGTGAAGTATTTCCAGTCAGATGTGTTCCCTGTTTTCTATGGTCCTGCAAAGCTTTCTCAAGAACCTCTGTGATGCTTATGTCTGATCATCCTTTCTATATTGTCGCCGTGTGTCGTAATAAGATCCCCTGAGGTAGCTTGTCCAATGGGGATCTTCCTACTTTTTTTGCTAGAATGTTGAGTGTCTCTTAAGACGGATACATTCACTGTCAAACCATGCCATTTTTTGGCTTCATTCCGACTCTCTTTGGGTGCTACCGATATTTATTATATGTCTCGGCCCGTTTCTGACGACTTGAGGCGTTTTTTCTTGGCAACACTTGTTCGCAACCTGAAGATACAGCTCAACTACTTGGTTGTTAAGGTTAAGAACGTCTTGAGGTGTTTTGC